TTGACCACAGACGAAGGATGCTACGTAATGAAATCGGGCAAAGTTTGCGTAAGGACCGTGAAGCCTGGTGGTCGGAGCGTGCTAATGAGCAGGAAGCAGCAGCTGCATCTGGTAATTACCGGAAGCTCTTCCAACTCATCCGAGCCACCGGCAGCAAGAAGTCTGGTGTGAGCGAAACAATCTGCGAGGATGACGGAACGCCAATCACTAACATCCATCGACGTCTTGGACGATGGGCAGAATTCTTTGAAGGGCAGTTCAACTGGCCTGCTGCTCCGGCAACATCGGTCAGACTGTCCTGCCCTCCATGGCCGGTGACGACTGATCCACTAAATGAGGCGGAAGTCCGCAAAGAACTCCAACTCTTGAAGCGCTACAAATTACCGGGCCCAGATGACGTACCTCCGGCTTTTTTTAAAGATGGTGGTGACTTTCTGACTAAGGGACTGACGACGTTGTTTGCAAAGGTCTGGGAACCAGAGAGTGTACCAACGTCATGGAATTAGTCGATAGTTGTCCCTATCTTTAAAAAGGGTTCACGTCGTTCCTGTAACAACTATCGGCGCATAAGTCTACTTCCGATTGCGTCCAAGCTATTGGCTTCCGTCGTACTTCGTAGGTTGTTCAGAACCCGAGAAGGATTAACTCGCGAGGAGCAGGCTGGGTTTCGTTCTGGTCGAGGATGTATTGATCATATATTCACCCTCCGCCAAGTGTTAGAACACCGCCATACTTATCAAAGGCCAACAATCGTAGTGTTTCTTGATATCAGGGCTGCCTTTGATTCGTTGGACAGAACTGTTCTCTGGGATTGTCTATTGAAGAAGGGTGTGCCTGAGAAGTTTATTAACATCCCAAAAGCTTTATACACAAACACCTCAGGCAGAGTGAGGGCATACAACCAACTCTCTCCATTGTTCCATTCAAGCAGTGGAGTTAAGCAGGGTTGCCCAATCTCACCATTCCTCTTCAACTTTGCCATCGATGACATTTTGAAAACAGCTCTGACGGATGTAAGTAGTGGTGGTGTGGATCTGTTGCCTGGAGAAAGACTTCTCGACCTTGAGTATGTGGATGATATTGTCTTACTGTGCGAGAATGCCAAAGCCATGCAATCCGCACTTAATCAGTTAGCAATCAGTGTTCGTAGGTATGGTATGTGCTTTGCACCTTCGAAGTGCAAAGCACTTCTACAAGACTGGCAGGATTCTAATCCTGTACTCACTCTGGATGGTGAGCAGATTGAAGTAATCGAGAAGTTCGTGTATCTGGGTAGCTGCATAAGTGCTGGTGGTGGTGTGAGTGATGAGATCAATGCACGTATAGTGAAAGCCAGAGCGGCTTATGCCAATCTGGGCCATCTTTGGCGCCTTCGTGATGTTAGTCTGGCTGTAAAAGGTCGGATCTATAACGCGACGGTGAGAGCAGTTTTGCTCTATGCTTGTGAAACCTGGCCTCTCCGAGTTGAGGATGTTAGATGACTCTCTGTGTTCGATCATCGTTGTCTCCGAAGGATTGCTGGCATCCAGTGGTAACACCATGTCAGTAATGCAGAGGTTCGGCATCGAGTGTTCGGTCACAGAGACAATAATGAAATTGGTGTCACCATCTTGAAACACCGACTTCGGTGGCTTGGACATGTTCTACGAATGTCGTCCCAGAGAATTCCACGTCGTGCATTATTTGCCGACTCTGGGACTGGTTGGAAAAAGCGGAGAGGTGGTCAGTATATGACATGGTGTCGTGGTATGGAAGAAAGCTGCAAAGGGCTAGCTTCTGTTGGTCCTCCACGACTCCGTGGTTGGGGTCCGAGAGACGGTGTAACGCAGTGGCTAGAGACGTTATCAGATATGGCTAAGAATAGAAGCCAGTGGCGATCGTGCTGTAACCTCTTACTTTCTTCATAAAAAGTGGTTGTATCTTCCTCAACTGAAAGATCTCTTCTGATTGTACCTTTCCGTTTCCCGCACCATTGTTCTCTCTCATCTTTTTTTTTATAATTCCCCACGTTCATTACTTCTTTTCTTCTCTTTTCTCCTTCTCTTCAAATTATCATTGTTTTGTGTGGCACATATATATTTGGTGCCCCCCTGTACCAATATTTATGTGTTCAAATAAATAATAAATAAAATACTATTGTTTCCTAGCAGAACCACAGATTTCCACAATAAGCTACATGGTTTCACCACATTTATGCGTATCTACAAGTTCACTTCACAGTCGAACTGTTTGAACACTTCTGACTAAGTGATTTCCATAATTTATAGCGGGTGTTATTTCAGTGTCGACTCTTCCAAACCGTCGACCTACTTTCTTAGGTGGTTGATTCAAGCTTTTATTTTTGTCACAACTAGTACACCTGCCGTCATTCTATCAATGTGTACTTTTTACTTTTCATGTCTATTTATGTAACCTCTTTCACTGTTGTCACTGACTCATAAACTGCCTAGATTGGTTTAATATCTTTAATATATAGTAGTATTTATATGCATTTATAAAATCTGATGAAAATTTAAGTGAAAACAATATTGCTCGTCTATGTGTTGTTCTAAAGCAGTACCTAGTTAGTAAGCGACCAGTGTGCTTGTTTTGCCACCGAAAGATAATAATACTTCAGAAACTTGTATGCTCTTGCATTGTCAGTCAGTCAGCTCCAACGTAGGACCAGGTATATATACATCGTTAAGCTCACGAGATAGTAAAGACAACCGAAATATCTCGATTTAAATCTGTATATGTCAGCTGTCCCACAAATAACGTCTTTTACAGCTAGATATCAATTCCAAGACTTTAAAAGTTATGTTTATCATACGGATTCTTTGGCTGGTACGGTAATAAATCCCTTACCCTTATCAATAAGAGAGTGATCAACACCTAATTTTCCTTACGATTCCGTTCATACTTCAGCTAATCTAACCAGTATTTCCTAATTCGACGTATAAATGGCCCGTCTTGTTGATTTTCTCTGAAGTAAATAATGCCCCAGTTTACACAGAAATTGTCGCTAGATCCTAAGTAACTGAAGTTTAGTTGTTATTGAGGACCATCGAACATCCTAGTTACTTGTGATAGATCCCTAACAAATATTCTTATAAGTGTATGCAGCTGTTCACAACTGCCCAGCACAAATGTTTTATCTGTGATTTTTGTTGAATTTATGAATGGTAAGGAGTTAAAGTAGTTCAAACGCAAACTTATAAGATATTTTTTCAGTCTATGTTGTGAAAATTAGAATATATCCAAGGAACAATGAACCCTTATAGCATATTTTTATGTTCAGCAATGACTAGTCTACCGAATGCCGTAAAATACAGTTAATGCATTTTACAGTAAATAGGAAAACAACGATTTCGCTAGATAAGATCATACTCACATATTTACAAACAATCTAAAAGATGATTACATTAATGTGTTTACTTAGCGCTTGCGTTCAAATGATGTGCTTTTGCTTTTGCTACCCAACGTTTTCCGAGCACGTGGACACCTGTTCCGCCGACGTTCCACCTCATGAAATAGATAACCTTCCGGCTAAAATAGAATAATCACAGTTGATTATTATTAATATTATTTAAAGTCGACAGTTGACATAAAAGAAACTGGAACTAAAAAATCGAGTATAACTGAGACTATCTAGGAAAAAGACGACACTTATCTACTCTCAGTTTAGACGTTTGAAACGATGGGCGGGACACTTTAGGGAGCAGTTCAGCTGGCCTTCCACTACTCTACAACTATTCACCATTCTCAAACAGCCTGAATGGAACATTAAATTAGGCCCCAAAACTGTAAATGAAGTTCAGAAAGTTATAGCTAATCTGAAACGAGGATAAGCAGATGGTCCAGATGGAATAACTTCAGAGGTCTTTAAGTATGGTGGTCTAATTTTAGCGATTAGGTTGACCAATATTTTAGCTAAGATCTGGGAGTTGGACGTAATCCCATCTGACTGGTCACAATCACTTGTTGTCCCGATGTATAAGAAAGAGTCAAAATCATCCCGTGACAACCATAGAGGGATTAGTTTGACCAATGTAGCATCTAAAATACTAGCCACAATAATTATCGGGTGACTAACAAAGACTTGTGAACTGCAAACTCGAGAAAAGCAGGCTGGTTTCAGACCTGGTCGTGGCCGTATCGACCATATATTCACCATTCGTCAGGTTCTAGAACAAAGGCATGTTTATCGGCGTCCAACAATGATAATTTATCTTAACTTAAAAGCAGCATTTGACTCTGTAGACTGAGAGGTTCCGTGACAGTGTCTGTCATTGAAAGGCATACCTCAGAAGTACATAAACCTTGTGAAGACTCTTTACTCGAACACTACTAGTCGAGTCAGAGCTTATGACGAACTGTCATCTGCTTTTGCAACCTCAAGTGGTGTCTGTCAAGGCTGTCCACTTCCTCTACTTTTGTTTAACTTCATCATAGATCTACTAATGATCGGAAGTGAAGTAGTTGAACACATCTGATGAGCTCAAGTGGGTTGGTGTCTGACGAAATATCAGCTTGGATTCAGAAATCTCATTTGGCTTTTGCCAAATCACTTCACCTATGACGAAGACGAGATATCCGTCTATCAATCAAAGGACGAGTATACTGCTCAGCAGTTCGTTCTGTTTTACTTTACAAATGCGAAACGTGGGCATTAGGAAAAGAGGATACTCGTAGGTTAATGGTGTTTGGTCACAGATGTCTTACTGATTACCGTGGCGCGCAATGCTGTTTAGTATTGACGACTATTTGAAGAAAGTTGTGGACGACCAAACCAAAACGTGTCATCAGTGCTTGAAGTCACTAAATTCTGGTCTGAGCCATGTTGGTAGATTCATATTACTTGGTTTGGGTCAGCGTGACTATTCTAACCAATCGTTATAGAATCTGGCTGATGTGGCTTAGAATCGATTACAATGGCGTAGGTGTATACAAAACGGTAATCGCGATCTACAAGTAGTAATAAACTAAGATCAAAATATTTTCTTCAAGAAAATGTATCTGCGCGCTGCATTCAACTGTAGTTCAGTAGATCCAAAAGTCGAGTAACCTAATCGTAAATCTTATAATTTTTTTCAAAATAGACTGCGTTGTACCACGTGAGCACATAAAAGATCCATATCCTCGAATCAAGTTTTTGACCGGCAACATGCATTAGTCTACGCTAATCAATTCCTAACGGTGTCTTTGATTTCATCTCCATTACGAGACGGATGAGATAAGTTTCCCAGTATCTATTAGTTTAGTAGAATAACTTAGTTATCTATGATAAGAAGAATCATAAAACCGAAAATGTACGACTTACACACAACTTTCTTAATGATGACGATATCTCATTGGGCAACTGGAACGGGATATTCAGGTCGACTTTTTTTAGTTTACAACGGATTTCGTTTTTAGCTTTGGCTGCTGACTTCCGTCTTTCTCTGGTTTTCTTTTCACGTTTGATTTCTTTAAGCAACTTAGGTAAACTGGAAAAATAATCCCATTATTTAGTCTTACTTTTCGAGATCGTTTTTCATTTTTTTGTGAGGGTCCACTTTTTTAGGCTTTTTCCGAGACAGAAAAATTTCATCAACGTCTTCGCTACTTTTTGTAAAGTGAGACTCGGCATTTAATGAATGAAGGAACTTCTCCATATCTTTCAGAGGGTTCAGTGACTGGAAATATTAAGTGCGAACATCATTCTTACCGAGTTAACACCCCTTAGACTGCTGACAAAGCGCTCCGTTTTAAGCTCCCGTCTTTGCTTTGCAAACTCGATAGCTTTTAATCGTGAAATGAGTGATAAGTGGTCGTGCAAAGTAGGGTTGTATGATTGTCCTGGACAAGGTAGGGAATGGTTTCCAAGATCGTTATCGACTGTGTTTTTTGGAGTAGACCCTTTGCTGGAAGACATTGTTGAAGCAGGTACATCTAAATATTATTAAATGCGAACAAAAACTGGACAACCTTTCCAGATATCAATCTCAAGAAGTTTCCTTTTTTCCAGTTTTTGTTGCGAAGTATGCAACCTTCTGTCGCATGCGCTAGGGATATCGTTGAAAGTTTTCGCTGAATTCTTATCTCCCTTTACGATGTAGTCTGAATCACTGTGAGCGGATTTGATAATTCACTTACTTTTTTTGCTTAGTGTTGACACTTGTGTAAAGTCCTGCTCGATTCTGAAATGTTTTAATCTATAAATACTACAATTTACATTCTTTTGTGATGAGCTGCATCTTGAATTTTAGAATCGATATCCTTGTAGCAATACTGCCATCGCCGTTTTTTGTTTTTACCAAGACGTTTCATTTTGCCAAAGTACTTCAACCGGATGGAGAGATGACCTTGACGCTAAATGGAGCGCTGTTTGTGCTTTAGAGAACAAACATGTTTTCAGTCGTAGGGAAACAGATAATAGTCTCAGAAAGCCTTATTTTCACTATTCTTTGTTATTCATCTATCCGAAGAATTCTCGTATAAAGTGGATATTTTGAATCGTTTTTCGAAACGTTCTTAGGAAAAAAAGAAAATTATTATTTACTTGAGTCTTAGTTACAAGGCTATAAGAGCTTAATAATTGATAGCAAAGCTTTTAATGTGTTGAGGTGAGGTAATGTATACATTCCCCAGACACGTCCTACATCTTACAAGCGGATCCGTTACGCTTAAAGGAAAATAAACAACAACATTATAACAGATTAGAGTTTATTTCCATTTTCAGATCCACAGTCTGTGTTTAGGTTTTTTAACAGACAATTAGTGAGTGAAGAGTGATATATTTGTTTCTTCCTCATTTCTCATTAAAGTCTGTCCTTAGTCTGTCTGTCTTTAGACAGAAAGTCTAAGGGTTCAGTCGTCACTAAAAACATGATCCTGAAGATTATCTAAATGAAACAGGATAAAACAGCATTGGCAGTCGAGTATTCCTCAAAAAACGACCCATTCGTAATCAAAGAAGGGGCGCTGAGGGCAGTGAAATATCACTAGGCTCAGTCCAAGATGTCCGGCTGCCAGGTCACTGAGTATCAAGTACCTCACTGATCCTTGTCTAGTTCAAGAATAGCTAGTTCGCGTCATTTAATTGCATGCTATGGACTGGACCACTAAGTAGTGGTTATGTACTATTCCTTTTACCTACTAACATGTTTCTGTGGTAACGTCGTTTGTTTTGTAAGGTTACCAAAGCAGCCGCAGTAACTGGATACAACGAAAGGTCAATCTATGTTACGTACTAACTGCGAGATATGACTACGGCATTGGCTGGTTGGTCACACTATTTCCGTCTAACTCCCGTAAGCCTCCGATCATTCGACACAGATCATCTACGTTAGGGATCTGCAGAGGTAATGATATTCCTGTGAGTGTATTTAGTCTTCCGCGAAATTTGAAAGTAATAACATTTTTTACATGATTTAGAAATTTTTCGACTTGTTCTTTTGTAGGATGTTCTGTATTGATATTGTCATCCTATCTTGTATGTCGGGTACATTTTACCCCAGCAAAATAACTTTGATGGACACTTACCAGTTAATACATACATATCGCGGAATTCGTTTCCTACATATCTTATGTGAGCCTCCAGAAATCGAAATTGATGCGTCTTTATCTCTCCATTACACTAATTAAAATATAAATATTCCATTGGTCGTTAGTCATTTACGATATAACTAAATGCCTTATATTTGAAATACACTATATACTCCTAGTTCGTTTCCTGGTATTAACCCGGTTACTACTTAATATTAACTACGTACTCAGATAATCTATTCAGTTAAACGAACTTTTCACTCAGTCAGCTCCAAATTGTGGCAAGTAACTCTAGTAAAGAGAAAGTTCGCCAAATTCTAAGCTAACTAAAACGTCAAGATCTGTAAGCTTTATATCTGACGTCTCAGTATGCGACAGAGTCAAACCGTCTGAACTCTGTAGTGACCTACTTTTGTCAACAGAACGCGATTCGTTCAACGAAAACAATTATTATTATAACCAATTATACCAGTGATTGTTTTACTGTGCTCGTTTGTTTAACTGTGTTACTGACAGCCATATTGACCTTCCATTGGACCCCATCACTTTTCTACGCGGTTTGTGACTCTACGCACGTACTTTTTCCTGCCGATCCCACTTGTACTCCTTTGGCACGATCTCGGTATTCTTTCGATACCACGAGATCGCCAATGAATAAAAATGGTTACGAACTACTCTCGCCTTCTGATTTATTTGGTACGCGCTCAACTTGTAGTGGTGTTCGTAGTCAATCGTGACTCGATTCCACGCTACAATTGGTGAGCCGAATTTCTGAATACGCATTAACCTCTAGTCATTTCATCCAAAGAAATCGATTCGGTGAGTCTCTGGTTAATCTATCCACGTCTGTCGTATATTTTCGTAGTTATTTTTAATATATAATATATTCGACATGATGGATAGTGACAAAAGCAGCATTAATATTACAGACTCAGACGTACAGTCTATCTATTTTCGACCTGTACCATTTGTTCCCCATGACCCAGAGGTTTGGTTTGCTGCAAAAGGGTCTCAGTTCGAGGCTCGTCGCATTTTGAGCCAAAAGCAAAAATAGGCTTTCGCTCTTGAATCACTGCCCGGGGATCACATCATAGCTGTACGCGAGGTAGTCCTCAATTCAAATGCCCCCAACGCCTACGATCGCCTCAAAAAGGCTATACTTCGACATTTCCTGCCATCAAAGGAGGAACGATTAAGGACATTGTTAGCACGTCACCCTCTGGGTGATGCTAAACCAAGTAATCGCCTCACACGCCTGCAATCTCTTGCAGGACCTACAGCTGCCGACTCAGAAATAGTTAAAGAGCTATTGTTCCAGTAGTTACCAGCACATATCCAACCAACCATCACGGCCCTGCTCTAGGACTGAACACTCGACTAGGTGGCCTTCATAGCCGTCAAACCTTTGGCAAGGACTGACAACCGAGACAACTAGGTAGTTGTCTCAACGTCACGTTCAAACGTGGATATCGACGCCAGTCACTCCTCGGCTCAAGGTGATGGAACCGGTCGTATTCACACACGTCTTAACTTCCGAGACCGCCGTGATATACCCGAACCCTGCGTCCCCGAGCCCGCTCACACTCTCGAAAAGCCGTCAACACTCGTCGAACGAGAGCATCTTACAAGCCACGCCGAAAGGCGGCTTCGGAAGCGAGGGAAGGTTGTTGCTGGTTCCATCGATCCTTCGGGTCTGGTAACCGCCGTTATCGAGCTCCGTGTTCATACAAGGCGGGAGACTCTAAAGCCGGCGAGTAAAAGCGGCCGTACTCGCCGGCCCTGCCCCCCAGGTTGGCCTTTTATTTTACGTGCACGACTGTCGCACAGACGCTAGGTACCTAGTGGATACAGGTGCACAAGTTTCTGTCGTAAAACTTGGTGGCAGCAAGTCACAAGCTACAATACTTCGACTGCGCGCTGCGTATGGCTCAGTCACCCCTACCTACGGTACACGACAACTCGCGGTCAACCTGAGCAACCGACGACAGTATCTGTGGACATTCATCATTGCCGATGTTCCCACAGCCATACTTAGTATTGATTTCCTACAGCACTACGAATCGCTAGTCGATTCACGTATGCTGCAGCTAATCGATACTTCTTCGAACGTCAAAGTCATGGGCTTCGAATCTCCCACAAACGCGTACCGAATCCTAGGCACCTTTTATTCATGTGACGATAAATTCTACGCTTTATTCGAGAAATTCTCCAGAATAACTAAAGCACTCGAAGAGATTTCATCGGTTACCAATCATGTGGTACACCACATAGTCACCCGCGGACCACCAGTCACGGAAACACCACGCCGACTGGCACCGGACAAATTAGCCTTCGCTAAACGTGAGTTTGATAACTTACTATCTACTGGTATTATTCGTCCTTCTCATAGTCCCTGGGCCTCTCCTCTTCACATGGTGCGCAAAATGGGTGGAGTTAATTGGAGACCATGCGGCGTCTACCGAGCATTAAACGTAGTTACGCGCTTTGATAGCTACACCATACCCCACATACACGACATCACGGCATCGCTCAATGGCACCACTACATTTTCTAAGATCGATCTGGTACGAGCATATCACCAGATCCCAGTCGCTCTTGAAGATATCGAGAAAAATGCTATCACGACTCCTTTCGGTCTGTTTGAGTTCCTACGAATGCCATCTGGATTACGGAATGCTGCTCAAACTTTCCAAAGGTTTATCGATAGCATAGTATGAGACTTGGATTTTGTTCACGATTATATTGATGACATGCTAATCGCATTATCAAACGTAGATGAACATTATCAACCTTTTACACTATTATTCCAACGCCTCTCGGATAATGGAATAGTAGTCAACCCAGAGAAATGTGAATTGGGTAAACCAGAAATAATATTTTTGGGTCACATCATCAGACAAGAGGGTATTCTGCCTTGCGATGACAAAGTTCGAGCAATCAAAGAGTACAACGTGCCGTCCTCACTCAAGGACTGAAGGCTTTCCTCGGTTTGGCTAACTTCCGTCGACGTTTTATTCCACACGCGGCAGAACGGTTACGACCATTAACCAATTTACTACGCGGTAATCCACGCAAATTAGAATTGAACGATACCGCACGTACTGCATTCTCAGAGATCAAAACGGCTCTCGCTGAAGTTACACTTCTCGCTCATCCTGACCCATCAGCCACGCTTAGTATAGCGGTTGATGCATCAGATTTCGCTAAAGGGGCCGTCATGCAACAGAATATCTCCGATAGTTGGCAACCGCTTGAATTTTTCTCACGACGTCTTACTCCCACGGAGACGAGATATAGCGCTTTTGGTCGCGAGCTGCTAGCAGCCTACTGCTACATCAAACATTTCCGGCACGCAGTAGAAGGGTGTCATTCCATCTTATTCACCGACCACGAGACGTTAACGTATGCCCTGCATACCAAGTCTGACCGCTACTCACCACGAGAATGTAGGCATTTGGACTATATCTCCCAGTTCACGACAGACCTTCGTCACATTGAAGGCGAGTCGAACTATGTTGCCGATGCCCTATCACGTATGCAAGCGAATGCAGTTACCTTACCGGTGCTTGATCTTCCTGCTATTGCTGCGGCCCAAGCAAACGGTCCCTTTTGTACAGAAGCACAACAATCTGCATCCCTTCAGTGTCAGGAAGTACCCCTAGCTACTAGCTCAAGTGCTATTCTATGTGGTATTTCTACCGGTCTTCCTCGACCCATCGTACCCTCTACCTATCGCCGTCTCGTATTCGATGCCCTTCATGGATTGTCTCATCCAGGCATCGCAGCCACATTACGCCTCATCGCTGCACGATACGTCTGGCCGTCCATGAATAAAGATGTTC